TCAGCAGTCAAAAATCAAATCCTATATCTACCCAAGGAGAAGACTCTGCCCCATTTAACTGGGGACTCATGAGACTACACCATGATGAAAGTAAAAATAGAATAAAACCAACCCTAAGTTAAAATGAAACCAGGATAATCCATAAAATCTCAAGCTTTAAACTTTATGTGGTCCAATATTGGTAGTGATCACCAGTGCCTAATGGTGGAAAATAAAAATACTATCTGGAGGAAGTACCTTCATTCTAGAGTGCAAAATTCTCACTATGAATATTTCAAATACAGTAAGCCATGCACGAGACCTGAGATATTAAAATTAATAGACACAGACTATAGAGATACACTGTTTACTCTGTGTAAATTAAGAAAAGGCAAGTTTGATATATCTGCAGGATAACAACAGAAAATTTAAAAAGTGAAACGTAAAAGTTTTAAATAACCAAAAAATCTTATAAACCTAAAGAATAAATCAATAGAAATTAAGAACTACAATGAAGTAGTTTAATGGTAGATTAAATACAGCCAAAAAGAGAGTGAACTGGAAAAGTAGTTGGAAAAAATTCCAAAACATATTAAGGATAAACCAAAAAAATGAAATAAGGAAAAGACAAAAGAAGAATAGAGAACACAGGTTCATTAGTAATAAATAACAAACATCCTATAGGGAGATTTTTGACATCAATGCAACTTAGCTTTCTTTTAACTATATCAGGTAAATATCTTAATAATTCAAGTGGAAAGTGGCATGCCATCTGATATCTACCTATCTGTTTTATTGTATAATATTTTATCATAACATTATATCTTTATTAAATACTTTCTTCACTTTTTGATTATTTACTATCTCATTTTCCATTTGCTTTATATATCTGCTCTGTAGCAAAGCCTTCCAATTGTTCCTCAATATTAGTTTTTCTCCACTTTCATAATAGAATCCCAGATTTTTGTCTGGGCACATTCATGCCCCAAATAAAACCTACCTATTTCAGCCTTCCATACAGCTAAATGTGACAATGTGACTAAATTCTGTCTGAAGATATATTGTGTGGCATCATTAGTAACCTTACTTAAAACACAGCTACAAGTACCCTCACTCCCTTCTCCTTTATCTCTTCTTATTTTCTAATAGTTGGAGTAAGCATAGTCATTTTGGATCATGATATAACCTTTGAATGGGGGCCATGCAAGAGGAGCAAGTGATAAAATGAGTCTTAGTCACCAAGTATGTGATGAAATAGTGCCATAATATCAGCCCTAGACTGCATACCTCTGGAGTTTTACATGAGAGATGAACAAACTTCTACCTTGATAGTATCATTTTATATCTTTATGACACATAACTGAACCCAATTTAAACTGCCAACAATATGGTAGATGGAAGCAGGATGGTACAAATGAAAGAATGTAAAATATGTGACACTTCCTTAGTATAGAAGATTGGATGACAGATGGCAAGGACTCAGGATAATGCAGGCTGAAGAACCGGTGATCCTTGTTAGTATGGCCTAAAAACATTTTCACTTTGGAAAGCACACTACATGCTGACTGAGTCTGCTCTCTTAAGGAAATTGTATAACAAATCTCATATTTGAATATGCATTAGATGTTACCTATTGCTTTTATTTAAATCTTATGAGAGAAATAAATCTGGGCTATAGCTAGCCAGCCTGAAATAAGAGATGGAAATAGAATATAACATTGATAAGGCAGGTACTCTCTGCAATCTGCAATTTAAGCTTATTGAGATTCTATTAATTTGGAGCTTGCATGGATGAAAAAACCAATATCTTTGTTCCTCAAATTGAAGTGGTTACAATAGAGGACTTCAACATAGAAATAAGACTGATATACTAATGTGTAATTGTCTGTAGAAAAGACAAGATTAGGATTTTGCCTTCCCTTCAAAGCCCATTGTTTCAGAGTTCACCTATGGTAGCCATCCTTTATTTGAATGAGAGGAAAATGAGTAGACAACAAAAGCCAGTAAGTAAACGCTCAGAGTCTTCAGGATTATAAGCCATGTCTAGACAAGATCTTTGTGCTTACTTAACCATAGAACCTACTGAAATTAAATAAGTCAGAACAGTACTAAGTTTTTTGAGAAAATGTATTGCAAAAGAAATTAAAATCTTTACTGAAAACACCTGTGGCTCTTCAAGTTCTAAAGCAACCTACAGACCTCTAAATCAATCATTAAGGCTATGAAACTGCAACACACAAGAAAAACAAATCGTCTAATGCCGAATTCTCCTGTGGCCACAGAAAATCATAGAGAAGCAAGATGTTTTCAATGGGAAGATATAAGAGAGTTTCCAGGTGTGCTTACTCTGGGTCAAAAGAAGGGCACATTCACTATTGTCCAGCTAAAAAATTTCCTTTTATTTTTAGTATAGACAGGGTCTGACTCTAGTCAGGCTAGTCTTGAACTCCTGAGCTCAAATGATCCTTCCGCCTCAGCCTCCCAGTGTGCTAGGATTACAGGCATGAGCCACCATGCCCAGCCACATTTCCCTAAAACTTGACCTAATTGTTGAACTACCATAATTTTGTATTTATTTCAACCTCATCTGCACAAGTAGCAACCACCCTCTAATGTCTGTAAATAATAGATAATGTTCCTAGCAATTGTTCTTGTTCCATATCTTTAGTTTCTTTTATTCTGACCCAGTTGCTTTTATCAAATTGTTTCCTCATGGTTACTGACTTTTTGTTCTGTACCTCATTTACAGTTTATTCTTGCTCCATAAACTTTGGATGTTTATTCTTAACTTCTGGTTTTGCAGCATGGCATTTCCTAGTGACTGTAACTTGCACTTATTCTTCTGGCTGTTTCTGTTTTAGATTGCCATGAATATAAGAAATATTAAGCCCTTTGGATGCAGTATATTTCCTTCCAAAACAGGAACAGATTCAGACACTGATTATACTTCACCTAATTACTGAATCTTGAATTTCATTCTTGGCTAACCTTTTCTACACCTTTGTCCACAGAATGTTTTGTTGCTGTTGCTGTTGTTTTATTTTGTTTTTTAATGAATTCTCAGTATTAAATACTGATGTTTTCTCACTCTCACACCATTCCCTACTCCCTGACCCTTTTACTGTTCCTTGGATCCTGGGTTTTCTTAGGCACTCTGTAGTATCAATTATCCTTACTATAGTTTCTAACAGACCAAATTCTAAGGCCAAATTCTCACAGATAGGTGAGTGGTAAAAATAATAAAAGAATAATGTACCAATTACATGAGCTGAAGAGGAGACTACAAATTAAGCTATCAGAAGATTGAAGGTTAATTTTATACAGAAAAAGAAATGATTCATCAAAAAAATGAATCTTACAATTAAAAATAATTTAAATTATTTTAAGAAATTGAGCTGAAGACAACTTCTGTAAGGTTCTATGAATGGTAGCTATAAAGAATTAAAAAATCACAGGACTATGTACATATTTATAGGCTATGAAAGAACAGTGCTTAAAAAGGAACATTAATAGGGATGTGGTTAGCAGAATTATTATTCATAATAACATAAAAGAGATTTTAAAAATTGTTTATAATAAATATATTTTACCAAAACATTCAGAACATTCAAAATACTTGGAAAGCCCTGACAATGGTATATGCTATATATCTTTATAGATATTAAATAATCCTTATAAAATGAATATTTTATTCCTACTCATGCACATATCATAGTCCCTTACCATAACACTATATCCATTTCCATATGTATATATTTAAACACACACATACTGATTATCAGTATATTCAAATTTCTTATCAGTATACAACAAATTGGTTATCAATATACAACTTTCATTGAAAGTATCCTTTAATATGTGCATAAAGCATATACAAATGCAGGTGGCATGCTCTGAAATCCACGAGTTTATATTCTACACAGAGCATCAAAGACACTTCACATGAACTCTATAATTACATAGCATATACTATCATCTGGAACAAATTAGTATACTTGCACTAAGTGCTGATGAAGGAAAAGTTTTGAGTAGGATATATTCTGTCTTTTAAACCTATGCTTTTATTTGGTGGATAACTTTTATGGGATTTAAGGACTTGAGGACATTCCTGTGCTAAATCTAGAACACAGGTCCTCCTTTACATTGAAATCAGACTAACAAAAGTCTGGACCTTTTGTAGTCCCTTCTAATCATGCTAATGTAATGAAAACATCATAGCTCAGGCTACTGAGGAACAGGTCCACACAGGAAGTTTATGTATTACACACTCAGTGCTTTAGAAATTATAGAGAGTTCATGCTAGTTAATTATACTACAATGTAAAGTCTTCATTTCTGCCATTACCTACTGCCCAAATCAAAACAAAATTCTAAAGATAGAAAAGGCAAACTCTGGATTAAGAAGATTTGATGTCAAATCCTAGCTATGTCACTTAATTATGTGGCTTTTGGTAAGTTAATTAACCTCTCTGAGCCTTAGTTTACCTATTTCTAAAAATGAGATAAAAGTACCTGTCTTATGGTATTGTAGAACCACATGCAAAATATCTAGCACAGTGCCTAGTACATAGTAGGCACTCAATAAATGTAAGTAAATTTCTTTTTATTTCCATTGTGTCCTCAAAGCAATTTATGACTTAGCATAAAACATTGAATAAATGTTATACATAGAATTATCACTCTTTAATAAACTAAATATTTCTTTATATTTTCAAGCACTGAGAAGTAGTTTCATATCACTATTACTACTTGCAATAACGAAGACAAATAACATATATATATATATACAAAGTATAAATATAAAATGGTTATGGTGTGTTATTAATGCACAACAAAATTATATTTGAACCACATTGTTGTATGACTTTTCTCACATCAAGAAAATCTGAGGTAGAATATTAATAATATAATGGAGTCTATTTAAGAGAAATTGAAGAAATTCTTACTAATCTACATAAATTATAACTCTAGTATCTTACATAAAAATATTTCAAAGAAAAGTAATGAAGTAATTATGCTTACCTGTTTCCAACGTGCAAGCTTTCCTTTTATATTAGTTTCAGGCTTGTAAAAGATATCCTTACGGAGCTTATCTTCATATCCTTTGGTTATGTAAATCCATTTTGTTTCATATGCTCTAATAATTCTTTCCTGCTGTTTTTTACATATAAAGAAAGGGCTGAATATACGGGGAAAAAAACTATTTATTAGTCTTCTGCCAAAAAGTGGAAAATGAGAAAATTACTCATGAGTTCATTTACATCTTAGAAAACATGATGTTAAATTTAATGTAATACTGTATATGTTTACATCTTATGACTATATAATGCTATATAGGGACTAAGGTTTATTCATCAAAATTCATCAAGGGATGGATGAGTACTGAGAAATTTCTGCTGCTATGAATCCACAAACAATTCTGTATTTACATCTGGCTATGCATTTTAAAATATAATGGAAGGGAGACCATGACTAAATTTTGTATAGAAACTTAAGGTAACCAATGTGAAGTCTTTTTTTTTTCTCCCCAGTTAAGAAGTAACATTTTTTATTGTGGTAAAAGTTTTATTTTACTGTATCATAAAAAGTATTCGTACTACATTATAAATACTAGAAAAAAAACTCTAGAGCAGTACTGTGCAACAGAATATAAGCCACAAAATAATTTTAAATTTTCTATTAGCCACACTAAAAAAAGGTATAAAGAAACAGATGAGAGTAATTTTAACATTATGCTTTATTTAATCTAATATGTACAAAATATTACCCAATAAATGGCATCTACAAGGTAACATCATACTTAAAGATAAAACACTAAATATTTTCCCACTAACATCAAAAACAAAGAAAAAAATGCCCTAAATCTATTCAATACTGTACTAGAACTCCTACTTGGTCCAATAAAACAATAAAAAGAAAACCACAGATCAGACTCACCTTTGAATATAGATGCAAAATTCTAAATATTTATGAAAATAATTGATCAATGTAAGTAAAGAATAATAACACTATGACCATGTATTGCAAAACTAATTACATCAACAAATTAGTGGCAAAAAATATGATTATATAAATAGATACAGAAAAGGTATTAAATAAAATATAGCAACCAATATTTATTTAAAAATATTTGTAATAGAGGATAAAAACAAGCAATGTAATATCACAGAGATAATTTACCAAAGATCAGTAACATCAATTCTATGTGATAAAATGCCAAAATCATTTGAAGTAAAATGATGAACAAGATAGAAAGTTTACTGTTACTATTATTATTCAGTAGTAGAAGTAAAACAAAAGTAAACAATGAAAGCAATCTTCTCACTTCTCAGATATTTTAAGTGGGCCTTATCTATTTATTCACTCATTCAAAATATTTTTACTGATGACCTACAAATTAGGGTAAAATATAGGAAAAGAATACAATTTATAATTATTTAAATAAGACAGAACGTTATTTCTCTCTCATTACAACTAGCCAAGCTTGGTAAGATAGTTCTGCTGCTTAGAGGCATTCAATCTTGTTTCACCATACCCAAAAGCACTGTCAATAATCAATATGATGAATCTATTTTACCCCATGGAAAAAAGAAGACATGAAAACAAAGGGGGCACAATACATGTAAGCATGTGAAGAAGTTGTACTCATTACTTCTGCTAACTTTCAAATGTAACAAAAAATGTAATCAGAGGAACAAGCCACAAGAGAAACTGTTGATAGAATTTCTAGTGGTCAGTCAATTGCCAAGAGAAAAAAGAAATAATGGATATTCAGAGGAAAAGTAGTATAGTAATCTGCAAATTCCCAATATGTGCCCTATGATGAGAAAAAAAGTCACTAATACCATGAAGCTTACATTCTCTAGTAAGTGGAGATAGATAATACAGAAATAAAATACAAAATATATAATAAGTAAATTGTTTTTTACATAGGCTGCCTGGGATAGTATTGGTAAGAAGGGACAAGGTACAGCGGGGCATCTCAGAAAAACATTCTTGTCAGATAAAACATCAAGTGCAAAAGGCCAGGCAGAAGTATTCTTAGTGAAGAAGACCACATGTGGCATGTCTAAAGAACAGCAAAGTCATTAAGATGGAAATACATTGCAGAGTTTTGAGAAGAAGAGTGAATTTGAATGAATTATTTTGGAGAAATTATTTCAGGAACAGAGAGCTAAAGAATTCTGTGAAATATCTCCCCAGTGAACAACCAAAAGTCATAAAAATTATTTTTTTAAAAGTTAAAGATCTCTGAAAATTGTGCAAAGGGCATATAGAAAATAAATAATTATTTCATCAGGAAAATCTATTGTCTTAGTATTAACAGTGAGAATTTTTGTTATTTAAACCATAACTTTCTCTCTTCTTTCCCTTCCTGCCCCCACCCCAGGTTAGGATGATAGAAGTTCTACTCTGAGTAGGTACAATCAACAACACAGGATCCCTCTCCTACTAGGTCCCAGTTGAGGGATACAGTAGTATCTCCCCCAAAAGGACAGGGACCAGTATATCTCATACCCCTCCCCCAGCTCCATGTTTCAGAAGCATTATGCCAGCCAAGAATGGCTGAAAGATCTGGGCTTCTTCCTCTCTTCAGCTTCCACTGATAGGGCAGAAGGTGTAACCCACATGCGATAAATAGGTAGAGAACACTGGAGTCCTGATAACTCTTAGCCCAGCTTACCTGTAGGGAAGAGATTCCATGCTAAGTGAGGCAAGCTGAAAAGACTAGAGATTGCTGTCAAAATATATTTATAAAAAACTAAAAGAAATTACAGCTTAAAACAATGAAATAGATTTATTCTCCAAGATAGAACTTTTTCTACAGCAGGTAGTACTCAATATTAGAAAACTTTGGTAATATAGAGAAAAGACCAAAAAGAAAAAGGAGTACAGTGCTCTATTCCTGGAGCTCTTGCCTTTGCTCCACTGAAACTAAGGTAATACAGTTTCACTCTGTCCTTTTGTGACTCTGGAAAAATGAGATAATATATTAAAGAATATTATCATGGCCTGAAATTTGAAGACTAGAAAGTCAGATAATAACTTCAGCAATTTCAGAAAAAAAATTAAAATTTTTCTCTGTGGGATTAAATAGCAAAGTAAATTATTGGATTAATTATTAGTTTACAACTCAATACACAGGTATTATTAATAAAATTTTAGATGATTTTTTAAAAGTTTGAGTCCTCAAAGCTTGCTGTTAATTACCTGGATTCAATAGAAAAATATAGAAGTGAGCAGCAAAATTCAAAGAAAGTGTTCTTCACAGTAATTTTTCAATGAGAAAGAACATAATACACTTAGAATGCTTTTAAAATGTCTGCAAAATATTATCTGTAAAGAGCTTTAAATTTATATATTAATGAAAATTTTAAGCCCTAATGTAAGCATTAAGGTATTATGATAATATGTAATGTACCATTAATAAGTTATAAAATGAATAAGCATGAAGAACAAAACTTATAAAGACCCATAATTCAAACAGTTATTATTTTAAGAGAATACAATGTCCTGTTATGTACTTAGTCTTTAGGTCTATTTGTCTCCAAAAGAAAAAGATAAGTTACAATATAGAGCTGCATTTCAATTCTTTTCTACTGTAAAACAAAGAAAAAGTACATAAAATTATTGAAAAAATAATTATTACAATCAGTAAAGGAAAAAATCATCATCTTTAGAATATTTGTAGATTGAAATATTTTAAATTTAAGATCACCCAGAATCAATGATGAAAGCTAACTTTCCAGGTAACTTTGACAGTGGGTGAAAGTAAAAATACAGACAGATGTAAAAGGTGTATGTATTTTAGTATAATACAATTAGAAATATTAGTTATCCACATAGCCTTCCTGTAAGTGCCATCTCAAACCATCTTTACTTATGCGGCTCATTCCATTAAATAATGACTGTACTTAATGACAAGAGTCTCATGTACAAAGTAGGATAGACTTCAGCAATAAAATCTTCTAGGAATAGTGTCTTTTTTCAATGGTAGTTCTTTGTTCTATTATTTGTTTATTGGTCTATAGAGATATTATAATCATCTTGGGCAATTTTGACAGTTTATATTTACTTACATATCATTCTTCTGGTAGTTAAGTGCTATGCAACCTTTTTCATGTCCCGGTAAACAAATAAAATGATATTGTTTATTTACTAGTGAAAATAAACTAAGCTACTTGTGGCTAGAAGTGAACTGCCAAAAGATGCATGACATTATGGTTGACCCAGGCTTGTCCTGATTGCTAACTCATAACCCCTTACAGATATGTCAATATGGCACAGTAAACTGTATAGAGGTTTAGCTCTAGATTTTAAAATTTCATAGTTTCACATATTAGTCATTTATAAGTTTCAATCTTATTTGTAAATGTAGTATTAGCTTCTTATTATTTTTCTCAAATATTTTTTTTCTGGGCTGGGCCTATCTATTTCATTACTCTTTTCAGAGAATAAGCACTTCTTATATAATACAATCATTATTTACTAGTTCTAGGTTTTTGCTTAGCTGCTAACTGTATTGATTCCTGATTCCAACTTTTAATATTTATTTTAGTTCTTTTAAGTTTAAAAAACCCTAAACCTTTTTATAAATATGTAATTTCATCCATATTCTATTTGCATTATATGAAAATTGCACAATACTTTTTGATTTTTTTAAATTTTACATTGAAATTTTTATTTGATACAGGAAATATTTATGGAAATATGTCTTAATTTCCAGGGAAATTTCGGCATCTTTTAATGATGTGCTTTTAATTTTATTGGAGAAAGAGTATTTGAACTGCAAAAATCACTTCTTAAAAAATGCAACACTCAAGACTTCTGTAAGGACTAAGTGAGGAACTTAGCAGCTCCTCTCTTCAAAAGTAATTCTAAAACTGGACACAATTGTCAATAATTACTGTTTTAAAACTAGAAATTGACTAAAGGCATACAATAAAATGAAAAGCATTTCTTGAAGAAAATGTATAAATGTCAGTAAGGACACTGGAGAGTCTGTAGAATTTTAGCCTGGTGCTGTTCCTGCCATTAGCAGCCATCCTTCTCCTCCACCACTGCTAATTACTTAACACAAAAGTATTACCATAGCATAGCAGACTGGGGTACTGACACCTTCATGGGTGTAGAAGGAAAACAATAACTATTTCAGTGGCAAGCAACCAGGGAAGTCCA